CAGAAGAAAACAAGCAAGTGAAGAAGAGCATTGAAGCCGACAAGCAGAAATACGTGGAAGAACTAGCAACGACGGCGGAAAAAGCTGCAAGAGAAGGAAATATGAAACAACTATATGATACAACGAAGAAACTAGCAGGGAGATATATTACTATTTATTTATTCATTTGAACACATAAATATTGGTACAAGGGGGCACCAGATATAGCAAACCAGAGAGACCTTCCAAGGACAAAGAAGGCAGACCAATTACTGAAATTCAAGAACAGAGGAACAGATCGGTAGAGTACTTTGAGGACCTCTTGAATAGACCAGCTACATTGAATCCTACGGACGTCGAAGCAGCACACACAGACCTTCCTATACATGTCCCTCCACAACGACCGAAGAAATCAGGATGGCCATCAGACAAATCAAGAGCGGGGAAGCAGCAAGACCCGGCAATATACCAGCTGAACCACTGAAGTCAGACATCGAAGTAACTATTCAAAAATATTTGGGAAGAGGAACAAGTGTCGATGGACTGGAAAGAAGGACACCTCATCAAGATCTCAAAGAAAGATCTGAGCAAATGTGAAAACTACAGAGGCGTTACACTACTGTCAGTACCAGGGAAAGTCTTCAACAGAGTGATGCTGAACCGGATGAAAGATGCAGTAGACGTCTATCTTCGAGAACAACAAGCTGGATTCCATAAGGATCGGTCGTGTACAAACCAAATTGTGACACTACGGATCATCGTCGAACAATCAGTTGAGTAGAACTCGTCACTGTACATCAACTTCATTGATTATGAAAAGGCATTTGACAGTGTAGATAGGAGAAAATTATGGGAACTTCTTCGACATTATGGAGTACCTGAGAAGATTGTCAGTGTTATCCGGAACTCGTACGACGGACTACAGTGCAAGGTCGTGCATGGAGGACAGCTGACAGATGCATCTCAAATAAGGACCAGTGTCAGACAAGGCTGTCTACTCTCTCCCTTCCACGATGGAAATGGATAGGACATACATTACGCAAATCGTCAAACTGCATCACGAGGAAAGCCCTAACTTGGAATCCTGATGGGAAGCGGAAAAGTGGAAAGCCAAAGAACACATTACGTCGGGAAATAGAAGCAGATATGAAAAGGATGAATAACAACTGGAAGGAGCTGGAAAGGACTGCCCAGGACAGGGTTGGATGGCGAATGCTTGTGAGCGGCCTATGTTCCTTCACGAGGAGTAACAGGCGTAAGTAAGTAAGTTATGAAACATGTAAACGACAATTGTAAGATGTACAAATAATGTATTTAATGTATGGTTTTCACATTTTACCAAAGAACTCTGTAACTTTTCACTAAAAAATAATATTTTTTACTCATATGAGTTCTTATTCAGTACAAAACAACTGGAGAATAACTGAATAATTATTACATATTACTCTTCTACACTGAAGCACACCACAATGTAGTGCTACTTATACAAATAAATCATATATACATAATTCGAAGCCATACCACGCGCGAGTTCACAACTATGAGTAAAAATGAATTTTCTTGTTAAAAACGCTAGAAAAAATCCAATCAATGCTTTATTTTTTGTTGTTGATAGTATGCCATAATCATTTAGTACTAATTTGTGAAGCAAACAACTTCTAATCAACACATAGATGAGAAATGTATTAAAATTAAATGAATACATTAACCAAAGAGATTTCTTTTAAATGGGCTAAAATACAGTAAACAAAACCAAACTTAATGCCGAGAATATTTATACCTAAATAAAATACACAACATATTTGTAGGAAAGGACATGATTACAAAATACACTGAAACTTTTACGTAGTTTATTTTTGTACTAATTAGTAGTATAAATCTTAACAATAAATAATTAAGCTTCAGTTACCATTAAATTTTCACTCATTTTCTGTAAACCACGAAATCACACTTTAGACTTCGTTGTAGCCTGATGTTCAGTTTGATGAGACCTGATTTTAAAAACCTTAGGAACCTTAATTTAATCACGAGTTATAATAGAAGTCATCAACACTCAACTACTTAGATTTCACATATTGACGTTTCTTTTAATTTACAAGGTTTCACTTATGAAATTTAGTAAGAAAGGGTATAACGGTATTTTGTTATTGTAATTACTTATTGAGAGAAGTATCTTCATACGTGTGAAATGCAAATTCTTCTAGTTTTCACTAACTCCAGATTCCATATAGGTAGAATCTGAAATCGATTTAAATATATCCTATCATGCTATCAAAGATTTTTAACTCATTTTGGATTGCGTGTTAGAATCTTTCGATTTATGCATGGGACTGCAATCGATCAGTCTCTTATTAGCATATATGCATGCTATGTGGATCGTCTCGATAACAACTTAAAGAACATGCATTATATGCAGAGATGATGGTGGCTATCAGTGGATTGCAGAATGTACGTGTCCTCCTATTTGGGACTTGTCAGCTGAATATTTTTAACAACAACAGAGTTAAACTAAACAAGTTTCATTGACAAGGAAATCTAGTCAAATCACTTATAGAACTAAATACTAGAAGTTCGAAAATTTGTTCCATTATCAATAAACTTGTTCTTTCCACACTTCAGTATTTTATTGCACTAGTGACTTAAATTAATTTCTAGTAATCAATCATCAACCAGAATATGAATTCGTTGTAAGGTTTTTATTAGGATTTTGCTATTAATTATGTCCAGTGAAGTTATTAACCAAATTAAAGAGCACGAACGATAATATCAAACTGTACTTATTGTAAAATCAATAACTTTTATTGTAACTCAATCTCCTTACATTTGAACAGTTATAAACTTCGAAATCTTAATCGGAACGCCACTAGAATTATTCACTGAATAAAGATTGAAAAATAGGATAGAACACTTGTCTATTAGACATTGCTATTCTATTGTTATAACGGCTTTTTGTTACCATGTTGTAATATCAACTCGTAAACACTGATGATACTTGTTCATTACTAAATTCAGTTGGTGTAATTGTGACAATATTAATTAACGAAGATATTAATACAATCAAAATATGTTGAAAAAATTCAGTCATATGAGTGTTTCTAGAATAGTTATAAAGTAACTGTCAAATCAGATAACATGATAGAAGCCTAATCAACTGAACACACAGTTATACTGGTTGACAGCATATAAATATTTAAGAAACTACATAATTTAATAATAACTATTATTTTTCTCTCATAAGAATATTATGACCTAGTCTTAATTCCATTTATACGTCACTCATGTCACTTCAAACCGACAGTAATGCGATACATGACTTCCCTTTCATAGCCATTTATTCAACCAGCAATCATAATTCATACATTATTTTTGTAAAGACTACTGGATTCCATAGACTACATTACGAAGTGACTTTCGCATCTTATTTAAGTCATAAATGTATACTGACAAGTCGCATATTCGGAAAAAAACAAATGTCCAGTGCTTTACGGCTCTTGGTTGTTCCATAGCTAAAGTCAATATGTAATGTCAACTATAAATAACCTAATAAAAGGTCCTAGCAAAGCATAGAACTGATATCTTATTGATTTAAGTTTTGAAATTTTAAGTACTATTATTTTTTATACAACTCCCTTGGCAAAACTGTTTGTTGGAAATATGTCCGAAATCTTTTAGATTGTTTACTACAAAATGTATGTGCTTAAATTGACTATGAATCGATCTGATACTTTGGTCACCCCTTCAAATTTAACCAAAAGGTGCTTCACATAAATATTAAAGACCTCTCGTTAAATCTCTAGATTAGTACATTTCATTGACACTATACAATCAGTCTTCGTAAATAATAACCGCCTAGGATCATCAAAAGAACAAACAATGTTTAAGCTTAATTCATCTTGTATTGGTTGTTTGAAACTTCCCATTGATGTTTACGATTGCAATTGATTAATCTCTTATAGGCATATAGCATCCTGTGCGGACTGCCCAGATATTGCCTTAAGTCATAAGCATTGTAAGCAGAGATGATGGTGGCTAGCACTGGAATCCACAATGCGCGTGCCGTCCTACTTGGGACTCATCAGATGAATGTAACTGCATCTTAGAATTGATGTTCACTGCAGGACTCGAACCCAGTACCGTTCGCCTGTAATAATTGCGACTTAAAGCAATTCGCACAGGGTGAATATATGCTACTAAGAGATCGATCAACTGCATTCCTAAACGTCAATAGAAAGATTCAAACTAATACGAGATGAAATAAACTCCACTTTAGTACATAAGCTAGTGGGCATCTGCGCTCAGTAGCTAAGTAGACAGCGCAATGGAGTTTGAGGCGAACAGCACTAGGCTTGAGCATGCAGTGAACATCAACTCCAAGATGCAGTTACATTCAGCTGATAAGTTCCAAGTAGGACGACACGCGCACCCTGGATCCCACTGCCAGCCACCATCCATCTTTGTTTATAATGTTTGAGCTTACATACGTTTACGGTGAGAGTATCGTCTTAAGAGAAAATAAGTCAGTCGCAAAATCTGTCAACGATGAATGTGATCTAGACTCACTTTTCTTCCAGAATAGATAGCAGAAATTATATATGTATATGATTGATGCATTGTGTGGTAGTGAGCCGTGACTGGTCACCGTGCGATGACAGATATGTCTTGACTGTTGTTATATTGAACAGATGGATTCTACTGTATTTCCATCCTGATTTCATGCTGCGAGTTTTTTAGTTTGAGCCTGCAAGCTGTGGAGCATTGATCTATTGTCTGATTCCCAATTTTTCATCGGACCTCGTGTATAGAAGTTCATGCAATCTAGTATCGTGATTTAATTTAATCGTCTATTGATCTTATTAACGATATTAACTCGTATTTAGTGTTCTTGTGGTATGATCGTAACAAGAATAAGTGAAAACCAAAAAACTCTTCAGTTATATTAATCACATGAAAAGTGAATTATTTTTTAGTAGATGTTGTCAAACATCAAAAAGTGGAAAATAGTCATAATACAAATTTGTAAGTAGAAATATGATGGTTTGTAAAATATAGTATAAACGACTCTTAGCAAGTACAAATGCAAAGACTAGGTGGGATATCATCTTTTTTCCCAGAGAAAAAAAGATGTAAAAATATTAGTTTTGAAAGTCAAAAATAAGTGGATAGTGCTGAATAATATGTTTTTGTGTTCAAAAGTTGCTTATATCTGATTCGCAACTAGGATTATTATAATTCCACTCGGCACTGTCTGTTGATAAAACGTCGTTGTCAACATCGTCATCAACAGAAAACAAAGAAGAACTGGATCCATCCAGTCTACGTAATGTTCGGCTTACATTGCTTTTATTGAATTGATCGAAATTTAAATAAACACTTAAATCTACGTCTTTATCATCATAAATGGAAGAATTTGATGAAGATTCTTCCAGTGAATTCGAAGTATTAGATACTTCAGAGTCAGCATAGTTAGAGTGTAATTCATTGAAAATCGCCAAATTATTATTGGCATCTGTAAATCAAAAGATAAAAATGAAAAAAGTAATTGGTAATTAACCATATACCCTCAACTGTTATTTGTATTTGTAGGAATAAAAAACTCGTTTGGATAGTAGAGAATTATGAAGTTTATAGATGATAAATGGAAAGTTGATTTGATTGTCATTCCCTGGAAAGATGGTATTTTATTTTATCAAACCAATTTTAATATTGATAACTTTTGACTGTCCATTGAATACAGATATATAGGGTCTGAGTGACAAGTTTGATTAACGACTGGAAAATTTAGATGACAGCTCAAAATAGATCACAGTGGTATAGACTCACTCATTCTTTATTCTTGTCTAGAGCTTAAGTTTCTATATTATCCAACAATTTCTACTCCTCAAACTTACTCCTTTTTTAACTACATTTCTTACATTTAGTTATCCTCGCTTCCATTGAAGTTACTATTGTTTCGGCTTATTAGCCATTCGTCACGTTGATTTCATCTTGGTTTGCCTAAATGGCATGGCAATTTGGGTTAACGGGCTTGATTACAAGCTCTATGTTGATGATGAGTGACTAAACTTCAATATACACTTTTGTTAGAAATGTATGCAGATTAAGTATGATAAAATATATGATGAACATGAGATTTAATATTAACACAAAAGATAATATATAAATCTTACCCTGTACACAGCTGAAAGATTCTATAGAACATCGCAAGCAAGGGAATGAGATCGATTCCGAAATTTGTGCACATGATGTATGCATTAAGTGCTGGCATTCGCCACTGAAGTTGAGAGTAACATCTGATGTCAAAATACTGGGTTGAAACAGTGATAAAGTGCACAGACTACAAGAATCAGGAGGTAAAATAGTAATTTTGTCCATAGAAAATAATTCTGATTGTAATGATGGTAACAACTTTTCATAGACATATAGAAGACAAAAGATAACAGTTAAGAAAATGACATGACTTGATATTTCAGCGTATCCTAAGTACACAAGAGATGACTCGCTTAGATAGAATTTCCATGCAGAATAAGATAAAATAAGAAGAAAACTAATTCCCTCCATAGATAAAAATGAAGTAGAAATCATTCTGTACAAACTGCAACTTTTGACGGGTAAGATCAAAAGCTTAATAGAAGCCAGGATCAAACTAACATGAACTTGTAGGAGAAAAATACCAGTACAGAGAATAGTATTGGAAACAGAAGTGGACATTCGTGTAAAAATATGCGACCCTAGATAAAAACATACACTGAGAAGCCAAGTAATATATAAACCATACAAAAATAAGCTTGTGGGCAGACGTGCATCTAACAAAAGGCGTACAAAATGGTTGTTGGACAAGCGTAATACCTTCCAGGAAAGAACGCAACGATAGAGACACAAGGAAAAGAAACCAAAAAGCAACAAATAACACCGAAAACAGATTCTTTTTCATTTAACAACCCCAAAAAGTAAAGCGTACTTGTATATGTATAGATAAACAACTCGATGTTACTTAAGGTAAACGGGACTTTACAAGTTATTCCCAAGTAAATTAACTTACAAATATCTGAGTAGATTGATCGACTAGAAATGGTTATAAAAACTAATAAGTAAAAGTAATAAGATAACCAATTCATTACAAGGAAAAATGAAAATACTGTTATTGGAGATGAAAATATACATCCAACCACAGAAGACAAAGCTGCACTGTAAGAAAAAAGACATTTTGGGAATGATAATAAACAAAAAATTAGTTTAGTAACAAGTAGAATTTCACAAGGGACAAGTAATTTCGCAATCGAATTCCAAGACCATATCATTGTTACTCAAGTGAACCTTTACAAGCAAGAGTTTTAATTCACAAGTAAAAATTATGTACTCTAGGCTATTGATATTTCATTATCGTAATACTGAAAAAAGTCAACAAGTAATATTCAACACAACTCCAGAAAGCACCAAACTTATACAATTTGGGAATGGGTAGAAGGACGTCACATAAGTGACGACCTTTATACTAGAAGTTTTTTGGATATTTCATGAAAAACATAAACTGTAAGTGCTACATTACGTCCCGATCATATAGGTTTTAAGAAGACATCACAAGAATAATAGATACCAAATGAAAATTTTTCCTATCAACTTTCTATATATGAATGGAATGACAAATTTCCTCACGTTCGAATCTGAAAATGAGAATTAACAAGAAAGTAAAGAAATATTTATTAGAAGTTATTTCGAAGCGTCATTTAGTCAGCCATTCAGAATCAACATACAGCTTGACACAAATGTGTTGTTCATGCCATATCATTAAAGCAGGATTAAACTAACAGGATAAATAGCAAAGGAGATAAAATAACTGTAGTAATACTGGAATTGAGAATGGGCAAACATTAGAGAATACAGGTTAAAAGGAGAGGACGAATTAGAGAAATAATTTTTTAACTAATACTGATTAGGATTTAAAGGAAAATAAGGTGGTGAGTGGGTCTGTGCCATTGAGAACGATTCCGAGCCATGTCATTCAACTTCCACAACTGTTGGTCACAATAATCCCCAGCAAGGTAGTTTTACAGGCCAGCAATCTGACTCCATGTGATTGGAAGATATTAATGCTGGTGAAACATAACCAATGTTCTGTCGAAGTATTCCGTCAATAACAACGAAGACATAAGAAGCCGAATATGAAAGTATTTGAGAAACATATATTTAAGACATTCGATAGTGTAAGCGAAAGACAAGAGACGAGAAGAAATGGACATGAACTGGAGTGGTGGAAATGGTCAACTCAGTGACCAAGTCTATATAAGCACGAAAGAGATATAAGTATAAAGACACATTTTCTGACCGCCCTTAGCTTAATTTCAACCCACTCCTACAACAGAAAACATAGCAAGTCGAGATGGGAGGTGGTTTAGGATAGGTAATGCATGTCTCGACCACTAAATTGATGAATATTCACAACCTTATTAACTGATTTGCCATACATACTTGGTGACCTGTGTGTAACTTCAGCATTCCGTAGTCGGTGGTCCTAAAAAGGCGTCCAACAATTGAAGTGTACTTACAATTAAATGCTAGTAACTTAGGAACATCTTTTTAAAGACCACTTTCCACAAGACGCCTTATCGTTGGGAGACAGATATTTCAACTTCGACTCAAGTGAGGCAATTTGACGAAAGCCAACTGAACCTTTTGAATCGGTAATGAAATTGCGTAAGACGGTAACTCTCTGAAGCAAGCAACACTGCATTTACAGGGAGTGGATCGCACCCAAAACATGCCTACATAGAGGTAAAGTTTTGTTTACTAAGCTGGATAGTCTGATCGTGGAGCTTTCATTGTTCTTTCAACCAACATCATCAGCAAATCTTTAGGAAGCAGTGAAGTTTTCAAATTTATGCATACATGACTCACAGTTTGTTCTGTCGACCTCGATCTTGACTGATTATTGTTGACCTTTAACCTGTCATTGTCTGCTTCATCCAATCACTCCATCAAATCTCCCATACAAGTATTGGATATTGTTGAGAAAAGTTTAATCAACAACAGTGAATTGATAATATCCTTCGATGTAACGACCTTATTCACCTCAAATGAATGAAGCTTAGCAAAGGAAACTTTATTCCCGCTCCTCACTAGCGAGACAAATTTCTCAAAATACAAGAAGCCTTGAAGTTTTACACAGAAAAACCGAGGACGCAAGTATATCGGTAACCAATCCGCACAGAATAAATTCCCAACTACAGCAGCAACAACCCGAGAACTCAGAAAATCAACTTCATACAAACTTTCCTCAAGAAGACGAGAATACATTGCAGCGCGGAAAAATTAAGAAAAATATCTAACGGCTACCCACGCAACTTCATCATAAAACACCAATCCAACTCATCAGGAGAAACAAATCAAGTACAGAAGCCAACAAACGGATCGTCCTACCATACACAAGATAATTCAGAAATTACAATGAAATTATTTAAGTCGTTTGGAATAAGTGTAGAACACAAACCGGCAAAATCACTTCAATCAAACCCATGCGAACGAAAGGACGAAATGACAAAAGAAGAAAGACGGAACATTATCTACAAAATAAACTGTCCCAACTGCGAAAAACACTACATCGGACAAAGTGGATGCCCCCTTCATTTTCACTTGTACGAACATCAACTAGCGGTAAAACACCATGTCATATATTCGCTTGTATCAATGCCTGTGGACACATTCGACTGGGAAAATGTTGAGATCTCGGATAAAGGGAACACTAAAAACATTAGGGAATTTTTAGAAGCTTTGCAGTCGGATACATCAGCAAACGACAAACACACTGAAATCAAACCAATTTACCAACTAATCGGAAAAATCATGGGCATATGTAGGACCAAGAATCAATCAAAATAAAGAAGTAGGCAGTGACAGGTTAAAGGTCAACAATAATCAATCAATAGCATTTCGAGAGGGAGACAGGACACCCCTCATCCTCGGCCGTACCAGGGCATTTGTGGGAAAAGGCTCACATGTGGCCACGCGTAAACAGCGATTGCTAGGGAAGTCCTACTCACTGAATTCTCGCGAAGGAAGTGTTGTTTACGAAATTGAATGGATGAAAAGTAAATGTCTGGCGCTTTAAGCGGGTTGGTGGATATGGAGGATCCACCCAGGGGAGTTGAAAAACCCTTATTCCAAACCAATGGTGCACATGGAATCCAGGATCCTGAGGGAACAAATGGCGCATAAACCAATCGTTGGTCACCAGCTACTATGGTACTGCATCTCCTGACATTGCTCCACTACCTTGTGGATCAGACCTTTAGGTCGAAGGCTCGGGTGTGGCCCCCTAAGAAAACCATCTGCTTCGTTTGAACACCCGGGCAGTATCACAGCCCACACACAAATCAAGTGACTTGTGTGGCGCATATATATTCGGTGCCTTTTTGTACCAGTATTTATACTCAAATAAATAAAATAAATCAATGAAGATCGAGGTCGACAGGACAAGCTATGAGTAAAGTGTGAATAAGTTCGAAGACTTCACTGCTACCTAGAGTTTTTGATGATGTTGGTCAAAAGAACAATCAAAGCCTTACGACCAAACAATACAGCTTAGAGAACAAAACTCCACCTAAATTATCCATTTGAGCTACAAATCTCCACATGCTTGCACTGTGGCTCAAGGTGATTAGAAAGCTCCATTTTTTCAGCATCTTTACCGAAAAGAAACACACTGTCTGTATATTAGAAGTTGATAGGTGAATACAGTGGTGGGAGATTAACCTCTGAAGTCAGACGACAAAAGTGCTGTCTACAAAGGATTACCTTTGACAGAGTTAAATAAAAATGGAAAAAGTAGCAATCCACGACGAGGACTAATTGATTTTAATAACAGTTTGTCCAAATCTCCGGCTCGACTAGCAGTGTTAGAGTAGAGAGCTATCGCAAGATTTATGAACTTTTTTGGTACGCCTCTCAATGACGAATATTCATAAAACTCGTCGATAAACATAGATGAATGCTGACTTCAGGTTAAGAAATACCACTACACGTGTGCATCGATATTTATGTCTATCGTTTATAAGCTCAAGATAAGTGAATATCTGGTCTACAAATCTACATAAGATCTGGAACCAACCTGATTTTCATAGTCTGCTATTTGTGAGCTCTAGTTAAGTGTCCAATAATTATTGAGGCTATTATTTCAGACGTTATATTAGCCAAACTGATTCCTGTGGTTATCACATGAGGATTTTAGTCCTTTCACATACACTGGGACGATCATTGATGGTGAATAGTCGGATAGAATGAAGCCTATTTCCCAGACTATATATTTTTCCAATTAATTTAACTACTGACACTGAACCACAATACTTAAAGATCTTAGGGGTGAACTCATCAGAACCAACTTACCCCCTCGCTTTAGACTTGTTAAAGACTTCTCAAACTTATCAAAAGTTGGAGGGTCATGTTAACATTCTTTTTATCCAGGTTGTTTGGTAGACTGTAGACAATTGGATGGCAGCTAAACACCATTTAAAATGTTATTCAAATATTCTTTCCCACCACTCTAGACGTACGGGCGGAGAATATCTTGTTTTTCTGGTCATAATCTCACCAGCAACTGACTTTTCGATACCTGATTACTTGACAAGTCCGGCAAGCTGTCTATTTTACCTACTAATCATGTGTCTACTTACGATTACTCCTCAGACTTTTGTCAGTATTTTTAAGTTGCCTTCGCT